ACACACACATACACACACGCGCACAGATCACGGTTACAGATCGATCGTCAAGTCGGGGGCGTCACGATATTGGCCTGCCTGTCGATACATCCGGCCAGATCCCCGGCGCTAGGACGTATCGGTGTTGGAAAAACCAGGCTATCGAGTCGAATACGGGTTCGATAATTCGTCCGGCACCGGATCCACTTTCCGCCATTTCTGACGGCGCTGTTGATCCTGGCGTTGTTGACGACTCGGCTCGACCAATTTCTCTCTTCGTCCCTTAAATTTCCTTCCCGATTTTCCAACGATCTCTGGTTCTCTCGTTCGAAGAACGAGAAACGAGAGTAACTTGTAACCGTTGAATCTGAATTTGAAGGGGCATCTTTTTTTTTTTTTAAATGAATTATATTTTCGTTAGGGTGAATGTGAGTTTTGGTGGTTAATTGTTACGAGTTGCGTCGATTTGCTGTGGTGTTCTTTTTTTTTTTTTTAAGGTAGGATTAATTTTTAAGAGCGAAGTTGGTAATCGTAGAATAAGTAAGGAGGTTTGTGAATTGTGTAATTTTGTACGATTATATTTTTTTCATGATTAATTCTAACAGTTGAAAGTGAACATCTTTTTAACTTATATAGCGAATATTTAGGATATTAAGCTCGGATAGTAATAGTCGAGGAGAATTTTATTCCTTTTCAATACGATATTTTGTCTGCGATTTGAATTAAAAAAAAAAAAAAATAGAAAGATATTCACCTGGATAAACAAAATTTCTCCAAAGAACGATATTGCATTTAAAATATTCCAAAGGGGATTCTCGACCAGAAAATCAAGATAAATCCTCGATGCCAGTTGTTTCCTTTCTTCCGGCAATTGATGTCACGCAACAAGTTCCTGGCGCGACTTAAAGGCGCCAAGGATGCCGAACTCGGGCAGACCGTGGAGAAAAACCATTTCTCTTCCATTCCACACTGATACTTCCTATCTATCCTTTGATAACTTTGATAAAAATCGCTTCCTCCCCGCGGGAGGAAAGATATTTTGATTACATTTTTCTAGAAACCGATGTAAAAATATTGTCAACGATTTAGAAATACACTTCTACTCTCGTCGACATTCGCGTAATTTTTTCCGTGCATCGATATTCGACAATATTCCATCATCCTCGCCCACCGTTTCCCTTACGCGAAATTACACTTTCTCGTAATGTAAATGTTCTGAATGTAAACGTCCAAAATATCTTTCACGTATCGTTTCATTATCGAATCGTCATAGAAGAATTTTTAAAATATACGAAGTAGATCGATAAAACGGAATTGTATGCGTGATTGAGGAATGAAAGGAAGGAAAAGAAAAGGGAGAGCCTTGATCGATCCTTCGAAATATATCCATGTATATAATAAAGATAGGGACGGTAGTCGTAAGAGCAAATATTTCCACTTTCCATTTCACTTTCGTGTTCTCTCCTTTCCATGGCAACGACACGATCGACATATAACACTCCAAAGAGACTAAGAATTGCATCTAATCAAAATCCCTTAGCTTCTGCATAATCACCCCATCCTCCCCATGTCACGCGCTAGAAAATTATTTATTTCTCAGAAAATATTTGCGAGCCGTAATAGAACAATAATAACGAAACAAAAAAAAAAAAGAAAAAAAATAAAGTAACTAAATCCATTTCCTTCTTCGAGTTAACACGCAGCCTTACACGCACACGTGCGCACGCTGGGTCGCGTAGAATATATACATATATATATATATACATACATACATACATATATATATGTATAAACAGGCGAAATTCGAAACCCGAAGATTTTAACGAAAAAAAAGAGGAAGCAAAAAAAAAGAAAGGAAAAATCGAAGAAAGAGATGTAGAAACAGATATATATATATGCATAGATTTTGAGAGAGAGAGAGAGAGAAGGGAAAAAAGAGAGCCAGAAATAGAGAGATGACGCGGTGACGCATTTTCGGCAGGCATTCGCTGACCCTGTGGTTTCTGTTGTTGCAGAGCTGAAAAATTGGCGGATATCGCAAATATTTGAGAGACAGAGTAACAGCGACGAGAGGAGGCGGTGCTCGTTGTGCGGTAAGGTCGTGTCGAACGTGCGCAATCACTATTACGTTCATTTCCCGGGAAAGTACGCCTGCCCGCTCTGCCCTGCGGTTTACACGCGTAGCGACACCTTGCTCACGCACACGCGTACCAAGCACGCGCACGCGCAATAGCGCAAGCGCGAGCCAACCGAGAACCGCCGATCTACCGCCACGATCCTTCCCGATCAATCGGAGGGCTGCCGTCCCTTTACACGGATGCCACTTCCGCTTTCCGATTACGAAAATGGTTACACGATGCCCGTTTACACGTAGCCCAGTGTTCTACATTTTGAGAGAGAGAGAGAGAGAGAGGAAAGATGCAGCTGCTTTTGTTTTTCACCATCTGTCGAATCGAGGCTACTCGGGTTATTTTGGTCTTTGTCCTTTTTTTTTCTTTTTTTTTTTTTTTTTTTTTTTTAGGAAAGAAAAGGCTTCCGTCCGATTGTTGGTGGGTCGAGTTGGATTTTTGTGATTTTCGCACAAGAATGAGATTTTTCCTCATTCTTGGGGAGGAATCTAATAAAGGGAAAGATAGATTTTTAAATGTTTCAGCGTTGTAAATATTGTAAATTTATCGTTAGAGCGAATATCGATCGCGAAGATTCGTATTTTATGATTATTTTTTTTTTTTTTACGTTCATCATTATTAAGGTTTTATCACTGTGGAAATTCAAAAAGAAGTGTGATAAGATTCTCTGTATATTTTTTTGTTTCCTTTCGGCTGGCAAGGAGACAGAAAGAGGAGATCTGAGACAGAATCAATACGTTTAAGATTCTTTTGCAGCTTGGTCAACTTTTCCAAGCGATAACAATTTTATCCCTGATCTCTTTCATCTGAGCAACCTCTAAAAATTTGCAGCTGCTTTCAACCAAATTAACATAGGTTTATATTCAATATATATATATATATAGAGAGAGAGAGATATGTACAATATATTTAGATACATGTTATATTTGCTCTAGTTTTTAAACGAAACGTAGATTATGTATATTACGTCTTTTTCCATTCATAGAATGTAAGTTAATTTAGTTAATTTATCGTTCTTTGTGATTAATATCGTACGTGTAAATATCGAGGAGCAAGCCAATTTTATTTTCGTTCGTTTTTATCGACTATGAGGAGCAGCAGTGAAGTGAAGTATGAAGACAAAGGAACGCATTATCGAACGCATAACGTGCCTCAGACGTGGGGACATTCAATATTACGAAGGGGCGATTTATTCGTATAGATCGATGGCTCGATACATGACACGATGAACATGGGAATTTCGTGATGGAACACCTCTCTCCTTGACTGACAAAGCTGTTTCATTACACCCCGTATATCTTATTGATTTTCCATCGCGAGAAGCTGAATGTTTGCTACTTGAATTTAAATATCCTGTCAGATATACCACCATCGCGACATTTTTCTTCTTCTTCTTCTTCTCTCCAATGCTTCTAATTTAAAATAAATTCGATTAGAAATCCTCGTATAATTGGCCTATCTTTTAGCCAAATTTGAAGAACTCGTAATTTCTTGGTCTCTACTCCACGTTTTTTCATCTCAATTCCTGTGCACGATATTTGTATGTTGGCGACTCATCGTGAATTTTCTTATTGTTATTTTTTTTTTTTTAATTATATTTTGTGACTTCAACTTCTGTAATGAAGATTAATACAAATTTTTGATATAAATTTTCGTTATAACGTATCATTTTTCGTTTTCTAAGCCTGTACAAGTCCATTTCAAGCCCCTAATTAGGAGGGAAACTTGCAACCAGTGATTATATAAACGTTTTACATTAATTATCTTATTACGCCCTATTTTTGGTCTGCCTCGCTTATTCCAGAGGACTTGCGGTCTCTACGCCCACAGATTGCTCCGCGTTCATGGTAGAGCCGTAACGTGGCTCATTTTCCTCGTACAAGTTCGAGTTTCCTCCGTTTTGCGTATTAAAGGGAATAAGGAAAACGAGTGTATAGATCGCTCGGTATACGAACGTATTTATATTTTCCTAAAAGATAAAACTAAGTTTAAAGTTCATAACGTCAAGTTACTTCGTTAAATTATTAAAGAGACGAATTTCTTAAGACTTCTCACCGAACGAGTGTATTTTAAGTACTTTAGAATTAGTCTTAAGTCTTGTACGGATTAAGCTCGGTTGCCCTTTTCAGTGGCGTTCTATATGGACGACAATATAAATTTGGAATCAACTGTAACAATCACTGTATCTTGGTGCCGTGAGAAAATTAATAATAACGCTAAGAACTTTGAAACGTAAGATTTTCTATGAATGATTTCGCTTGCACGAGAGAAATTATGGTGGAATTCTTCTTTTTATATTGCTTGGATACACTTTTGCAAAAGTATCGTAAAATTATGTATTTATTTTCTAATTATCGATTTGTATATAAACGATTTTTACGTTACGCGTGAAAGTAAATTTTTGAAAAATTTTTCCCGAGATTTTTTTATAAAATACCGTATTAAATTTTTTTAACGTGGCTTGTTTAGTATTTTAAGAAGATAAAAATGATAAAATTGACGATAAATGAGAGGTGTATTAAAAATGATAGGAATCAGGTCCTCTTTACCTCGAAAAGTTTGAAATTAAAATTTGCATTTAATATGCAAATTCTTTTCGATGCTACGCAAGTACGAATTAGATCGCAATTTTCCCACGAAAAATTCTCCATTTATATTTTTTATTTAAAAATGAACCGAAAAATGTTTAGTTTTTGTTTTTTTCCGATAAGGAATTTATTTTTTGGAACGTAACAATGTTTAATATACGTAGATTTTATTCGATATATTGTTTTAAAAATTGTGATTAACTATTTAATAATCGTTACTGAAAATCACCATAATAAAATAAAATTAATATCAAATACCCCCCCCCCCTTGCCACTTTTCTAATATAGAAATATTATAAAAATATAATTTTAAATTCTGTTCTTATTAAATTTAATTAGCATAATTTTTGGTGGTCGGTCGGGGCGCAACTTTCTTACGCCGTAGCCTCTCTGTTAATTTACTTCACGTCACAAGCTTATTAAACATTATTTAAAAGGTTAGAGAGAATACAGGAATACAAAATATTCTCAAACAACGCGAAAGATTACAAAGGCATTCTTAATATGCAAGCCTTTAGGGAATACAAAGGATTTTCATTGTAAAAAAAAAGAATAACAAAAAAATATTACTCAGAATATTAAGCAACGCTCTCAAAGAGCCATTAACCCATTTTTCTGAAACCATGATGTGAACACACGACCTCCCCATCACGAGAGAAAATTCATCAAAATTAAAATACTTCAAAAAAAACCGATTATCCACGGTTCGATCCTCTTTTTCAATTCCTCCAATTTCTGTTTAGCCTAACATTTCCAAATCGAAAATTTCTCTTTTAGAATAAATCCTCTTTAATGGCGGCATTAATCTCGGGACGATTCGAATTTTTCGAACCGTCGTAAAACCAGCGCCAGTGGAAAATTTGATGGCCACGCTTGAACATTTTTACGCGGCCCTAAAGTCCACGACGACGACGACGATGAAAGCCCTGTGCGCGCCATCACACGGATTTCCCGTCCCGTCGTTCGACCATGGATCCTTTGATAACTCTCTCGAGTTCGTTATTCGAAACGTTATTACAAGGTGGAAACGGTGGGCCAGACGGTGGGAGACCCCGCGCGCGGAAGATATTGTCTGGCCCGCCGCGAGTTAAACGTTTCGCGGTATCGCGACAGCGGGGTTGTAAAACAGGGTGATCCCGATAATGGAAAATTTGATAAAGCTGGGATACGCCCCGAGTTTTATGTCCTCGGTGGAGACGGTCCTTTGTGCCACGGCATTCTAGACAGAGGCTGGCAGAGATTGATTGTAACTTGGTTTTTGTGTGTTTGGTACGTCCTGGTTCCTTGTCTTTTTTTGACATGTTTACGGGGGAGGAGGATGAGTTGACAAGTCTTTTAGGGCGAGAGTTTGTTGTGGCCGAGAGAAAGGTTTTCGTTATTCGTTCCTTGCGGGAGCGGATAACGTAAATTGTTTTCTTTTTTTTTTTACGTTGCGATGGAGATTGGGATTGGATTAATTAAAGCGAAAGGTTTCAAAGATTCAGAGCCGCCTCTTAGCAAAATTACCCAGCAAGAATTAAGACGGTGGCTTACGTCATTAAGAATATTATAAAGCAACGTTTATACTTAGATCACTTTATATATGTTTATTGTTATTCGTATTACATTTAAAAAAGAGTGAGATTGAATAATTTTAGGCCTCTGTATTACTCTTCACACGAATACGATAACGGACGAACGATAGCATCGAGTCACAAGTAAAATTTGAACTTCTCGTGTGAAAAACGCGAGAAAAAATTAAAGATATTGTCGTCGAAACGAGGTCGGGAAATAGAGAAAAGCATGCCGTTGAAGTCACTTTTTGAATTATCCCGATATCTCAATCGGTTGCCGAGATACAAGGCTTCGAAGTTTCCGTAGCGGGGTAGAGATTATGAATGGGGCTCGGACTGACCTACATTCTTTCCTGGAAATGCGCGCTACGCCCTTCCAGGAATCGCATGCTACGTTTTTCCAGGAATCGCGTCTGCCCGCTTGTCTGCAGTTTGGGATAGGTCAGTGAGACGAAGTGCGAGCGAGAAGTTCGTATAAGGGACAAGGAAGGAGATGGTAAACGATTAAAAAATTACCCTTTCCTTTGCACGACGATATCTCGGGAACCGGAAGTCGTATCGGGATAAATGAAAAAGCGTTTTAAAGGGGAAGGTTGCGCGCTTCTAACGATCGTTCACACGTCGACCGGAAGTTATTATCTTCGGAGTTATAGCGGTTCAAAGTTTTCCTAATTTTAATCGGATTTAATCGGGGTTAAGGTATACGATTAAAAATTACTTTTTCTTTGTACGAAGATATCTCTGGAACCGGAACTCGTATCGGGATAAATGAAAAGACGTTTTAAAAAGCAGGAATCCTTGCTTCCGATGATCATTTACTCATTGATCAGATGTCATTATTTTCGAAGTTACAGTGGTTTAAAGTTTTCCTAATTTTAATAGAGTTTAATCGGTTTTTACGTTAAATTATGTAATAAATATGTTTATTTCTGAGAAAATATTGTTTGTAATTATATGATAAATACGTATATATACTTGAAGATTATAAATTGAATTTCCAGAAGAGATTGGTGGATCGATATATATATATAAAATTTAAATTAAAGGAAGAGAGAAGAAGGATAATGGTATTTTTACTTGACAGAATGCAGTTTATCTCAATTTCTGTAATTATTACAATTCTTCTTACTTATATTTAATTGAAATCTATTTTAAATCGATAAAAAGAGTTAAATCTATTTTATTAAATTTTCAATCCTTTTTTCCAAAGGGAAAAAGAAGGTGGGAAATTTTTGTTCTGCTTGAGACAAAATATGAATTTTGTCAAGCTGAATGCAAGTGAAATTGTTTTGCAAAAACAATACAAAATATGAAATGAAACGAAATTGATGGTTCTTTGATGGATAGAAAGTAAATGAATTTTCCTTTGTTTCCCCCATGTTTTTAATCTTCAGAAGTTATAGTTTTTGTATACGTTATACAATTTTCTGATTGAAATCGCATTGAAAATATTCCAGTGTTAGTCAGTACAAAGATATAAAGTGCGATTACACAGTTTTAATAATTAAATTTATAATTGTTGAAAAAGATTTAATTAAATCTTCATTTACCATGCGCAAAACTGAACAAATAAAAGAAGTGGAACTATATTGTTTCACGTTGGAAATATGCGCGGAAAATGAAGTTTCATTAAATTCACGCAGTTTTTTCTTCTTTCCGTTATAATACTTATTTACCTTACTCTCGGGAAGTAGGCAACGAACAATGAAACGAAATCAAATCTTTTTAATATCTCAGATTATGTATCTCTATAATTTAAATATAATTTTTTTCATCTTCAAATCCTATCTTTCTTCGTTCCAAATCCCAATTTTTTCCTCGTAATATTAATTTTCCTTGTTTCCAATTTTCAATATTTCAATTGTTCAACTTTCAAACTCTCCTATTTTCCATATACCAAAGTTCTAATCTTCCACATCTTTCCAAAATTCCAAATTCCTATCTTCTACATTTCCAATCCTAATTTCTTACTCGAGTTTTTTAAATTCGTATCATAGAATACAGTTCCAAATATTTTCGAAAAATTTTATAATTTTTCAATTTTTAATATAAATATAAATGAATAAAAGTGTAAATCATAAATAAAATTCTAAAAGTGCTAACAACGAAGTTTCAATGTTTCTTCGATTATTTCTCTCTTTGCTTGCCGTGAATCGAACCAGTTTACCATGAGTGAGATTTATTAATCATGGTAACCGTATGATTCGTGCAAATATTGATCCTTCCATGATCCACAATCCTGGTTCTTCCGGTTGTTTCATGCTCCAGTTTCCGGAGTATCGTGTCTGCTGTGTCGACGTAGTAAAAAAAAAAAAAGAAAAGAAAAAGAAAAATTGACAAAAGAATTGACACGGAAAATTCGTGACTCTTGTTTATTGTAAATAAAATTGAGTAGAATTTAACAATTTATCATCCAATTGTTTCACAATTAGAGAAGATTATTATGGAAAGATTGAGATCATAAAAGGATGAAGAAAATATTGATTCGAAGAGAAATATGGAAATTTTGAAATTTGAATTGTAAAATTAAATGTTTTGGTACAAATGAAATAATGGAAACTTTTTAATATAGATATTTTTATACAATTGGAAATTATTAAAAGATACAGATAGATTAAAACGCGTAGTTAAATTTTCAGAGGTTAATAAAAAATTACATGTAAAATATAAGTTTAATTTGCAAAATCTTCCACGCGTAATGCGCCGCAATTTGCGATTCATAAACTTGTTGAATTGTTAATTAATCGCGTACAAGGAAACAACAGAATAAAATTAATGTAATTTAAACATTTTCTTTTTTTTTTTTTTATCATTATGAGTTGTGGAATATAATAAAATATACATATCGAGATTTCATATTTATATCATCGAATATCATCGAAGATTGATCAAATTCACAAAATTTTTCATGCGAAAGCATATCATGATTTTCGAAAGAAAAAAAAAAAAAAATAATCGAAAATCTGATCAACATTTCCACTTAATAACGATTAAAATGAAGTCTCTGTTTTTTATAGGTAGAATTAAACGAAGATAGAAGGTGGATTTATGAACGGAATATTTCAAAAAATATTTCAATAAATATTACAATTTTAAATGTTAAAAATAAAAAATGAATTTGGAAACGTCAAACATTCCACGCAGAATTTCGAAAGAATCATTCCGTTGAAACGTGTTCCCTGTTCTTTATTTGAGAAGAAAGTTGCCTCTAAATAGGAAAAAAAAAAAAAATCAATATAATAAACACGATTTGATTGCGCGAGCCACGATTAAGATTATGTTCGAGAAAATGCCGGAAGCCGACTCGTTCGTTTAATCTCTTTTCAGAATTTCTTTTACGTTAAAACAAAAGCTTCTTTTAAGTAACGTAATCCCAGAAAAGGGATCTCTTTAATAAAGTATCTGCATCTTTCGTGCTTCCCTTAACGACGAATCGATCTTGTAAATGGATAATTGTAGCATAAATATTATATTGTAATATGAATCGAAGAAAGTTGAACTTTCGATTTGAAATACGCGTGTAACGATAGAGATGTAATATAGATAGAGTTTTAGAGAAATAAGAGAATATTGTGTTATTAAGATTATGATTGATTAACCATAATGGAAACGTCAATAAAAAGAAAAGATCAATTAACGATTTAAATGATTAACTAATTAGAACTAACTGGTTTCTTTGTTTTTAATTATTGAAGAGTGTTTTTAACAAGATATATAATAATTTGTGTTGAAAAAGAAACGTAATAATTATATGTCTAATTATTTTTACAATATCACTTTATTACATTTGTAATAATAATATGTTTTTAAACACGTATTGAAGAAATTTTTTTTTAGAAATTTCAAAAATGATAATTCGGCGCATGATGGTTCGTCCATATCTTTATGATTACAACTGCAATGAATCCCCCCCCCCCCTCCCTCTCCTTATATCACTCCTCCATACAAACTTTCATAAAATTTCTGCTTTAATATTCTCATCTGTGATGATGTCGTTTAACCTTCTGCTCGTAGTTCTGCTCGTAAACTTTCGTCGATTAGCGACGTTTCCATTACGCCATTTTAGAACCAGCTAGACACTCGTTTGAGCACGAAAATCGAGGAAACGCGATTATACGATCGCATTCTGCCATCCGATTCCTGTGCAGATTTCGATGTAATGTTCATCCCTGTTACTGTGTGAAATATGTATAATATTTTTAACTCTTATAACAATACACGAGATATTAAAAAATGAGTAGTAAAATTTTAAAAAATTATGAATCAATGGCGAAAAAAGACTTTTATTTTTATTTTAAAGAAAAATGGATGCATATCTGATCAAATTAAATATTGGAATAATAATAGAGTCCTGAAATATCTTAATTAATAAACAAAAATTATATTATTTCTTGCAAATTTTTCTATTTTTTTTCTTCTTAATCACTTTACGTGTAAGCGTGTTATTTATCGTGTATTTTAAATTTATTTTAATTTCTCAGACGAATCAATCATGATGAATGAATGATTCTTCGATGAAAATTATCATTTGTTGATTATAAAATTCAACTAGAAATAAAAAAATTGACATGCTTATTGGTTAAAGTATCAGCATCAGTAACAGTTAACAATAAGGGTTGATGATGACGAAAATGTACAACGCGAAGAAATTTTATTCATAAAGACGACTCGTGATATTGTAAACTTTCCCCTGGTGGTAAAACTTTACAAGTTTGGTGGTTTCAAGTAATCGAATCTAACTATGTTTAAGTGTACTTTTTAGTACACTTGTGCATTGGAGCTGCGTGAAACTTTTTACGATGAAAAATTAAAGGACGACTTAGCGTTGCGACGAGGATCTTCCATTTTGAGAGTTTTGTACCAGTAAGTTTAGATTTAAGCGAATTTATAAAAGGATTATGGAATTAACCCAAATTGTATATATGTATACATATCGTTTGACGAATAATATAAAAAATATGGTTTATGGAATAATAATTTTCATGAAACGTGTTGTTAAAGTTGGTTTAACATGGAAATAAAAAAGAAAAAAATAACTGCATCCATTATTAATTATTAAAAATTAAAATTTATTAATTTTAATATAAGAATTTTTTCAAATTCATCTATCTATTTATTTCCGATGCATATTCATCGTAGATCCAAAAATGTTTAACGCTCACAAAATTTATATTGCATCCTGCTTGGTATCAAACACTTTTACCAAAATAGTTCAAAATAGTTGGCATTCAAAATTCGAATTACGTCTCAAAAACTTGTCTCACAAAATCTAGATTACATTTCCTTCTTATCTTGTTATTCCAAAAAAAAAAAAAAAAAGAAAGAAAGAAAGAAAGAAATTAACGTTCAAAGTCTAAGTTACACCTTTATTGGGAAAGCATACGTACAATTTCAAGTTGTATCACAGGTGTGCAAGCATGTAGTGAAGGATTAGCGATCAGTCTCAAATAGGATTATCTATGGCGCGTTGCTCGATAGATTGTGAGCAAACTTCTCCGTACACGATGTCGATAACCAGACAGCATAACCATGACGGTATAGTTGCGTTCCTCGTGCAAGGATTATCAAAAGCGTGGTACCATCTTCGAGTAACCCTGTGCGACATCCGATGAAATATTCAACCGGTATTCGATGCACATGCGTGTATCACTTTTTGATCCTCGTCAACAAACGATCACAATTCACTAACTGTGATTTTTTTCGACTAACGTTCCTTCTTGGGTCTGCAAGATCACTGCATGGCACAGTAAAGAAATATTATATTATTTTGGAATTTACATAGCATTTCAGTGTGCATTGGATCGATAAAATTTGAGCTGAATCGTAGGAGCTGATTTTGTTTGAACAGTTTATTTTTTTTTATGGTTGGCTATAGAAGAATAAGTTTGGATTTGATCGAAAGTGTAGGCAAGCATGAGGAACATGGTTATCAAAGTTACTGTAGCAGGAGAGGAATATCAAGTTTGGGATTTATGAATATTGGTTTTGGAATTTTAATACATTGGAACGACGAAGTTTGCTGAATTTAAGGATTAAAATAGAAGTGATTTTATTTGAAGGTATGACACTTTGATCTTTCTCTAATTGAGAAATGTATAACGAGTTTGGATACATCAAACTCCTAGTTTCAATAAATTATTTATCTTCGAAGAGGATATTGTTTTTCGTACAAATTATACATGAAACTTAGAAAAGAAAGAAAATAACTTGTACTTCTGACTTATTAAATTTAAATTAAGATTGACAACATAACCACTGCTGAACCACGTCTCCACAAATTCCAATTACATATACATTAACATTAATCAAAACTCTATTAAATATTTAACTTTCAAATACTTTCGAAATCGACGAAAGATAAGAGAGAGAAAAATTCAAATACAATCTCTTTAATCTCGAACCAGACTCTCCAAAAATAATCCAAAAATTCCCTATCCTAAATCTCAATCTTCCTCCTCCACTGATACTGTCATCCATGGAACAAGAAGCTAAAGCGAGCAAGAAGAAGAGATCGAGGATCGCCGATCGTCCTCCACTTATATCGAGCCGAAAAGAGGGGAGGATTTGAACGGCATGTTGCGATACGTAAGTTCCTACCCGATATCGATCACCCGCTGATCATAACTTGGCCACGTCGTCCCCGTCGTCACAAGGATTAGAGGTGTGAAGCGGAGCGGAGCAGCACGTTCTCAGGTAATCCTTCGATAATATCGGCAAACGTTCCGCCATTTTTTCTCCACGTTGGTGGCTGCGAAACGTGAGTATCAACCGGGCCACATCGTTTGTCGAGGCCTCCTGGTGAGATGATGCGAGAGGGATGATGACGCTCGTGCGCGCGTGAATGAGAGTGTTGAACAGCATCCTTTGTTTGTTGCTTCACACATGCACACCTGCCCGCTTTCACACATGTATACAAAAAGGTAACGCGTCGTGCTTGCCATCCCCTGTGCTGCGGATATTTTCTTTTTCTTTTTTCTTTTCTTTCTCCGTGAATGAAATGAATTTTTGCTCTCGTTCGAGTTTTAAATCTCGTGAAAGTGGGTAGCGGGTAGCACTGCATACTACGTGGATTGAATTTCTGCACGTTTCGAAGATATCCGATAATTTTCCCGAATGTTTTTAATATTCTATTTTTTTTTTTTTTTTTTTTTTTACGTTGTTCGTCGATTGTTTCAGTGAATATATTGTTTCGTACTTCTTCTCTCTTTTTTTTTTGATATAAATTGTTCGTTTTCGAAAGAGGGAAGAGATGATAATGTCTCTTCAAGGATGAAATAATTTATTTGTTATAATTATTGCCTTTGAAGGGAAGAATTATTCAAATAAAATATTCGTTCTCTGTTATAAAACCTATCTCCTTTATTTTTCACGCAGAACCGAAAAGTTGGCACCTCTTCGTTGCAACCTATTTCCTGTACTTTTCGAGCGTAATTTCGAGCGAGAGTTGAAAAGTTGGCAAAGTTGGAATAATATAATAACGCGAATAAAAATATACACATAGACACCTATATACACACAGTCTTCTTTATAACTGTTAACATCCATCCGATTGAATCTAGAACTTTTCTCAAATGTCAATTCTACATTTACGATGTTAAATTTTTATTTTGTTTCCTCGCAAACCAAGAAATTAAACCTTAACCTCTCCTTATCTTACTCACCTCTATACTCAAATCCATAACAAACGAACAAACTAAATTTAACCAACTCTTCACGAATGCCAACTTTTGCATACATCCATCATATTTATCCTTGTATTTTCTTAATTCCAACATCCATCTTTCTAAATCCGTATCCCTTACCTTATTCTTTCTCTCGATCTCGCCAACTTTCCAACTTTTCCATCCTCTTTCTCGAAATCATCTCGAAACCTGAGAAGCGACGAAATGCAAAACAAGAGAGTAGTCGAAAGAAAAGAAAAGAAAAAAAAAAAGACATGTGGATGAAATCGGAATGAAGGCTTGTTGTTGGGTTTTCCAGGTACGATGCCCAGCGTGCCGGTCGGTCTGTCGTATCACGAGATGTTCGCCGTGTCGCTCGGCTCGCCCGCCCTTTGGAGATGCCGTGCCTGTGGCAAACAGGTGACCAACCGTTGGCACCACTTCCACATACACACGGCCCAAAGGTCCCTGTGCCCCTATTGCCCGGCCACGTACAGCAGGATCGACACCCTCCGCTCCCACATACGCACCAAGCACAGGGAGATAGTGTTCGCCAAAGAGTCCTTCGTCAAAGGGTCGTTCGCGAAGGGGCCGCTGTAGAGGACGCTGATTGCCCCGCGAAGGAAGCGGCCGCCGCCACTTCCGCCTCCCCGTCTCTTCGACGACAGGCCTTCGATCGCCCCTTTCTTCGGATTCGGACTCCCCTGACCGGCCGTGCACCAACCGACCCCTGTCTTCGACGAGGAGAACGTCTAGAGAGATCGACCATGATTCTTTCTTTTATTCCTCTTTCGATCGCGCTTTCTCTTTCTTCCCCTTTCGTTGCGATTTTTTTATTTTGTTCTTGGAAATTTTTCAACTTCGTTTCGTCAAGTCTTTTCATTGGAACTCTTGCTTCCAATGAAATTTCTAACTTGAGCAATTTTTCACGATCATTGACGATGGATCGTTGTAACGGACTTTCTTCAACAAACTTCGAACTGAGCTGACACGTTTTATTGGATTATTTATTTGTGGAAAGTTTTCAAGATCTTGTGAAGAACATACAACTATCGAATAATACCAAGATAGTTTTATCTTGCTTTCATTTATTATCGTTACAATGAGATGAAGTATAAGATGGATGAAATTCATTCTTCGAATAATATAACGTTTAATTTAATTCGCGATCGTTTTAAAAGTAAAAAGTGGTACAGTGTATTAAAATTTAAGCTTCGTCTCATCGTTTGATAATTTTCTCAACAAAATTTCCTCAACAACTGTTTTCTTCATCTTTAAAATCATCCTTCGATGCCAGAAAAGTCGAAAGATCTTAATCAACGATCAAACGAATTCTAATTTCTTCCTTTTTCTGAAGAAACATGGTCGAAATCGTCTGGATATCGCTCGAGACATGGACAGGTTCGCGTTCGGGACAGTATTTAACGAGAATCGTAGGAAGAAAGGCAATTTCGCGGGGCAATTTCGTGCAACGAATGGCCTCTAATATATATATATATATCGCTTGAACGTTTTATCAGCTGAGCAATCACTCTTTTGCCGTGATCGCGAGGAACCGAAGAGGAGAAGTTGGATGGAGCACCACGGAAGAAAGAAGTCGTGCGAGGAAAGTAAGGAATAATCGTGAAAATAACAGAAGAAAGGTTCAAGAATTTGGTGGTCGGAATTTTTGCGAGGACAATCGATGGAACATATAGCGGAATGGAATCTCGAACGATCTCTCCTCCTGGGTGTTGAAAAAAAAAAAAGAAAAAAAACGGTGTTATTCCAGTTTCTTCGAATGGTATTATCGATTGTGGCTGGTTTCGATCGTACAAATCATCGGTGAACACCGAAAACGCTCGCTAAGATCCGTGTAAATAGTAACGAAGTTTCTGTAGACGTTCGCTCGTTTGGACCGGATTCGATTCTACTTTCTTCGACCCCTCTCGATTCCCCCTCCTCCACTTCCCTCCAATAAAAATTAGGAATTTCTTCTAGGCGGTTACGTATATCCGCTTCAGAAACTCTTCGCGCGCCGCTATTTAAACCGATATGATAACCGGTGATAAACCGTGTCGGGTCTAGCGATGGGTTTGAGTCGTTCGCGCGCAATGATCAAATATCCTTCCACGGTTGGTTTTTGAATCGAGTTGATTTAATTCTCTATTCGATTCTATGTATCGCGTCGATATTATTGTATCGTGGAAGGAGGGAGGAGAGGAGGAGAGGCGGGTTCGAGAGACGACCATCGAGCTTTGTAACTAAAACGGTCTAATTATTATTTACGCAATGGAAGGCTGAAACGCGCGCTGTGATTATCCGAACACCGAAAACTCAAAAGGGTACTACGAATTATGATCGCGGTCCGTAATCGCTGTTACGTGTATCTTAAATGTTGTCCGTTTCGTTTTTCTTGGGGGGAGGGGGGAGGGGGGAGGGGGGAAGAGGCCTCGCGGCCCGATTCTACAATCAAAGCAGATATTGACAGATATTGATGAGCACTCCGGATTCTCTTCACTCCGGATTTGTTTGTTAGGTGTCGACAGTATTTGCGTGCGAGCGTCCATGAGCAAAAATATGGACCTGTGTGTGTATATATATATATAAAATATATATATATATATATGACATTGGAGGGGATATGGTGTGCTCGAGGCATTTGGCATTTTAATATCTTCGATTGTGTCCATTTTCGCGGAAAAAAAAAAAAAAAGGATGATTTCGCGAGGGTATATTCGAAACTTTGGTCGAGGTCTCGAGGTAAATCTTATCGTCCCCTTCATCGATATCGTGTAATTACATTTCTCTTTGGACCAATAATCTTCGTCTATTAAAGTAATCGTTGTCGAGGCTCGTTAAAGTACCTAAAAACGAAGGAAGAAAAAAAAAAAAATATAAAAAAGTAAAAAAAAAAAAAATAAAAAAATAAAAAAAAAATAAAAAAAAATTAAGCACACACAATTCTCTCGTGTGGTTCCTAAGTTAACTCGTAAAAGGATCGAGCGAAGCTCGAGTCAAGTCAGCGTGGAAATCTTATGTGATACCGTATTAAGAGCCGATAAAAATTAAGCTTTTACTTTTTTGCGTGTTGCGTGTTGATGATGATGTGGGGAGGCAGAAAAATTAGGAAGAGAGAAGGGGTGGAGAAGAGAAGAAATGTCGTTGGTGTTTCACGTGGTGTTCGAAACGGAAGTCACGTGTGCCATTGTGTGTATATATATATATTTATATAGTTTGCTCATTTTCAGAGATAGATATTGTAAAAAAGATCTTCGAAATGTACAGTGATGTTTAGTCTTCAAATTTAGGATGGTGATAAAATTTTAAGAATTTACGAGAATTAACTGCACAACAAAGAAATGTACAAAGGTATAAATACGTGCAAGATAATTTTTACAACACGATGTTAAATTTTAATTTTCGACTTTTGTTTCTTCGATTTTAAAACAATGGACAATTTCAAACGGTATTAGATTTTTGGTTGGCAAATTCAATCGGTCAGTCGCGAGTCTGTTCAAAATTTTAATAATCCAAACTTTTCACCGTTCAATTTGAAGTTACGTATTTTAGGTTCAATAATCTGGTGATACAAGTTTAATCGTATGAACAAAATTTTAGATATGTTAATAGATAATTTCAACAGCCAACCAACAGCGGTTTAATTTAATTCGAACAATAACATTAAAATTTTGTTCTTGACACTTTTGAAACATTTCGATACACTTCATAATTTTCCAAAATTAGTTCTTCCATTTTAATCGCTTTCAATTCCCTTAGAAATCTAGAAGATAAAAATCATGAATATCACGAGTTAAGATAAATTTGGAGTGGAATAAAAATATATTCTATAATAAAGCGCCGTAAAGATATCGCGTACATAGAATCGAGAGAGAAAGGGATGAAAAGGATCGTAAAAAAAAAAAAGGTATGTGATAGGAGATACATAGAAATAGCATTCGTACTCGTGCTATCTCGTGGATGTACTTTTCAAATTCCTATGGATGCAAAGTGGTGTCGTTTACTTCTGACGACTACTTATCTTCCGAATAATGAATAAATTTATCCGTGACCAACGAATAAGATTACAAATTTATTCGTAATTAACGTATATTAAATAATAATCGACGTTACAAGGAATGTACAAGCGTCAATCCCCTGCTCGAAGCAAAAGTCGCTGGTAATTCACCTTATCTTACGAGTGGCGGGGATTCCCGACTCGAAAAGGGGGATTGGGAGAAACACCGATACACACAATCGTCAAAATAACGAATAGGATAATTGAAAAGAAAAAAAAAAAAAAAAAAGACTATCTTTTATAAAAAAGCACGATGGCGGTACGTGACTACTTCCGCATCGATATCCGCGGATTAAGCGTTCAAAGAGAGTTCCTCGTTCGATGACGCGGCCAGCTGACCGAGACCGTCCCATTCTCTGTTTTCACGATCGCTGTAAATAAAATATCGTGATCGAGACAACCTGTCATCACGGTGACAAAAATAGAAGCTTGTGACTCTTCGCTCGTTCAGCGTGGACGCGCTCGTCGAGTGGAACTGGTGCACACGACCAAAATGGAAATAGAGTATACACACGTACACGCGTATGGTACACTTCCATAGTGACAGAAAAGACGTACTCGCTCTTAGAGATACGTATACATACGTGCTTACACACACATGCATACACAACACGTTACCTATACGCATAAATATAAATATGGAATTATATATATATATAGGTAGATAGATAGATAGATAGATACGTGTACACATCCACGTGTCGACGGCCTGGCGCGAGTGAAATCGCACGATTCGAGAAAAGACTGTTTGACTTCACCGGCTTTATCGACGGGTCCTCGATCGATAACCGAGGCGAGATGTCGAGAAGCAATCGCTATTTCGCCCAACCACTACCGGAAACGAGATAACTGGAGAGGGGGAGGCGTTTATTTGCATCAACTAGGTAAAGTCTGAACAATTTTCTATAATAAATAAATTATACGTTTTTTTTTTTGTTATCATGAAAATTTTCTTTTTAGTTTCGTTTCATTTTTTTTAACGGCTTGCAGTCAATACTCGGGTATTTAAGTATACATATAAGATAATAACATGGATAGAAATTTGATTTAAAACTTGGCTGTTTGATATAAAATTAATTTTTTAAATGTTAATAGTTTATCAGTTATATTTAAGGTTTTCGAATTTCGATGATTTTCTGGGATTTTATCTGGGATTTTATATTCCAGAATTTTTTTTAGAATTTTATTAGTAAAATTAAAGGTTGAATAATGTATAAGATATAGAAGGATATTGGATATTGATTTAAGGTTAATGTTTGTGTAGATTTTCTTCAATTTTAATTGTTATTGATTTTAATATTGAATTATACTTAATTTGGAGAGTTTATATGTGTTTTTCAGGATTTTACAATGAATACGGTGATTTTTAATCAATTAAAAATTGTTTTTTAACACTTGATTGTATATAATTTCGAATATTTTGAATATTTCAATATGAAATTGAAAAATATGATAATTTTAAATAGATGAGAATCCTATTTTATAAGAATGATTTTTTATGATAGTAATTATTTATCAATATTTTATCTTAAAATATTTAAAAAGTATTTCAAATTTTCAAATGAATTCGATATTTATTTTATTTATTTATGAACTCCTAACGTTTCTAAAATATGATAGATCTCAACTTGAAAGGCACAAATTATACATTTAAGCAAGGCAAAAAAATTTTAATATGCTTAATAAATCACAAAAATAACTTTCTTCAAAAATTAATGGAATATTTTTTGGATTGAAAGTCATGAACGAGAATATATTATAACGAAAGAAGAATTATTTTTTCAATCCACGTCCATTATTAAGAATTCTTCTTCGCTATGACAAGTAATTTCTAAAGTTTAACTTCAGTTTTCCACCAGATTAAACTTCATAATTATTAGTATCGACACCGACATCGACACCGGAGTGGATCAGTTTTAGTTATCGAAAGTTGTAGTTGTTTTTGAGTTAGAAAATGATGGATTGGTTCGACTTCGATCTCTCGTGGATCGATCTTGTTTCAAGATCTTCAATGTCTTTGTACCAACAATTTTTAATTAAAAAGTTAGATAGAAAGTGATCGATGACATTTGCATTAGTACTTGTTCAGAAAGGAAACTGATTTTAAAAGATGAGTTTCCGCATGTTTTTCAATCAGAAGTTGATAGATTGGTTCGTGTTTAACTCCCTAGGAAATCGTTCTTGTTCAAAAGTCATCGTTTTATGACAATTTTATATCTTATTTCTTATCGCAAGGTAGTAAAATAGTAATTTGAAGTTGAAATAAAAATAGTATTTTCGACTAACTTTATTTTACCACGTATAGCAATTTTTATGCTATTTTTATACCTACGATATTTTATAGTGAATGGTTCCTAACAATAACCACCTTCGTACATTTTTATATCCTTTTTTTTCTTTCTTTTTTTTAGAATAATCGTTAGTGACACGAATATTTTTAAAGAATGTAATAATAATAATAATTTTCGATTATTTTTTAAACATTTTTTTTTAAATTAATAAAACAAAGAATGAAAACAAATTTTGCTTTAAATAAAAATAACAATATATTTCTAAATAATTTTGAAGTTCTTTTTTTTTTTTTTTTTTTTTTATATATAAAATTTACAAAAATCAATTTCGAAATTCATACAATATAATGAATTGGTTATGTATAGAGAATGATATTAAGAAATACT